CAAAACCCTGCCATTTCCAAAGTAATAATGTCCGCAGAAGTAAAATTATATGTTTAAAAGTGAAATAATTTTTTCTGCCTAGCACATCTAAAAGAGCAGAAAACACGCGTATTTTCCATCAACAAAAAAAAMCCATAAGCTGGGTTTGCCTTAGGGATCTGGATTTCCATAGGACTACGTGTCCCAATGTGTCAAAGTTATGTCAATTCAAAATCATGTTTTATTATTATTTTATGGGCAAATGGAGTGCTAAAGATAGAGAAGATAAAGCATGCAAAGAATTGACATCAGCACACTTGGCCAGCATGAAAAATTTATAGTGGGGGAAGCCGGAAATCAGGCTTTTCTAGCAGTTTGCACACGCTGTTGGGAACTCAGATTTTCGGTTCTCCTCTTAGCACTGCCGCAGCTTGGCACCACAGCGTCATAAACACAACTCCCACTGGCACGTGGGGTCGGTGGGTTGGGCAACAACTTCATGTCCTGTGGAAATAACTTGCAGGCACGTTCTGCCACCCTTAATCATGTTCACTGCTCCCTTTAAGATTTCTGAGGAGGTAAGGTAGAGACTCCAAAATTCTTGAAGCAGGGCCTCTGCCGCTTGCAGCTCCACAGGGTGTCTAGCACCACAAAGTYCACGTTGGATTATGATCCTGGAGATGCTACCACATCACAGAAACGAAAATACTATTGCTCTGTGCTGACTGAAGGAGATGGATCTTGGTCCTTGATTTATATGCCTTAATTTCTACGAAAATAAAGGGGGAGGGGGCTGATAATAATTCTTACCTACTTCATAATGGGTGAAGATTAAATAATAAACATTTATACAGTGCTTTTCAAATAAACATTATACAAGTGTTAAGTATTATGATATCAATCAAAATATTACTACATCTATATGACCCTACAAAGCAAAAAAGTTCCAGTATATTTTTTTTCCACACATTTCCAAGTGAATATAAATGAACCGTGGAATTGTCTTGCCATTCTCATAAAACTGGATGAAGTACTTAAACATTTGTGACAGTTTCAAAAACAAGGGCCCATGTAAGCATGAAGTCTTTTTCTAAATGTATATGTAGACTTGTTTATAAACAATATTAATCATTTGGCATTTGTTCGAGTTATTTTTCAAAATACCAGATGAAACTTTTGACAAAGGTTCTTTAGTGATCCACATATGCTAAATGAAGTCCCACTCCAGGGGATATCTGACCAATGCCTGCTGTTCCCATGAGCTTGGAAATCTTACACTTCTCAAATGAAATATCACACTGGAATATGACAAATTATGGAAAAATCAGCCTGGATTATGATGGCCAATAAATAAGGGCTGGTATGCCTGAGAATCTAATATGTTACACAACTTTTGATCTTTAAGAACACGTCCAAAGCTTGATTATCTTATCTTCCACCTCCAGCCCAGCCTCCTCAGGGAAAAAGTAATTAAGGGAGCACAAAGGGAAAAAAATAAAATAAAAACAGACATAATAAGAGAAGGAGTAGAAACTTTGGTCCAGATCCTCAGCTTGTAGGGATCACTGGAACTCCATGGTGGGGAAAGGAGTCACAGTGATTTGCCCTTGGAGAGAGGTTCAGTCCAATATGTGGTTGTCTGGGCAGGGCTCCTCCTTTCTTCCCAACGTACGGATGACAAGAAGGGGAGGTCACCTGCACACATCATCCAAAACAGATCCCAGGCAAAGCTTTTATACCACCCTGGGTGCAGTTGGTCCATTCTGGAAAGACGCAAAGCAGAACCAGTTTCAGCTACCGCGCTCTCACCCAGTGCAGCTTTTAATTTCATTCTATGCTGAACGAAGTGCAAGAACAGCGCAAAGCATCTGGGCAGGTTCACAACCACGTCCTGCCCCTTTTCCCAGGCCGATCTATGGAAATTCCTTCAACACAGTCAAACTCCTGCCCTGCTTCCTTTCTAGAGGGAAAGGTCTAAGCAGTCAGAAGAAATTTAAAGTATTTTTCATCAAAAAAAAAAGACAAGAGTTTGCTACAGTACCAGCCTTATTTTATATTTCACTTATTTTATGCCATATTTGCCCTATCAGAGAAATGTTTTCATGTCATGGTTACTTTTTGAATACCAGAAAGAAGCTATGACTAGTAGTATTTCTGGGAGAAATCTATGAGAATTTTTGCAGGGTTGGTACCTCATAAAASAGCAAAGGCAGAACAGGATTTCTTCAGTCGTTGCTACCGATGAAACACTGATATATATTGAATATACATCTTAAAAGGCAGTTAAGTTCTGTAACATGTGACAACTTCGCTCAGGACAACTGAGGAAATTCAGAGCCCAAACAGAGTTTCAATTGAGCTCAGCTGGTAAAATTCCCTCCTTTGTGGAAGTCCAGCACAGGACGAAAAGATCATGTTRGCCTCTCTTGAGCTCCCAAAAGAGGGCATAAAGGGATTATAAACTGATCATAGGCACAGATACCAAGCAGTCCACCGGACTGAAAGCTTCCACCTTCTGAACTGAAAGCATCCACCTCCAGCGTTCAGCATTGAGCACCAAATTCTCCCTCAGCAGCTGCAGGAATCCAGTATAACAGATTTCTTGTTATAGCACAAAGCATCTTTATAGCAATATTTATTATTTGTATGTTAAAAGTGCTGGAACCACTCTGAATATTTCTTATTTTAGTAGAAATCCATACATCATCATGAATAACATTTATGCCTTCTGGGTAATGCTTTGTTTCAATAAGAAGTTGTTGTTTACTTGGGATTTTCCTCCATATTTCTCAGAAACAAGTAATATTATCTTAACATTTTGGCCTCGTTTTAAAAAGTTACTGGGCTTTCACAGAGGTAGAAAAGGCAGGTAACACTTATCAACTCTAGCAAATGCAAAATAGAACTACTTCTCACACAATAAATAGAAAGGAAATGGCACATCTTTGACACTTCAGAAATTCTGCTTGCCAGAAAATATCAAAATTTGAAGGCAAAAAAGAAAAAGACAAATGCCTAAAATTTATCTACAGCATGAATTTTTGTCCTGCAGTAATATCTGAAATTGATAAATATCAGCAAAAGCCAAAACTAGTAATGGATTGCTAAACAAGACATAAAAAAAGCAGGCTTAATAATGGTATCTTTGAGAGGATAGCCTTCCATCAATACAGGCCTCGATAACAAAGGCAACAAATAGCTATCTTGTTAGAGGTAGACAAGAGCAATATTTGTATCTTTCCTCTCCCCTTCCTACCAAAAAAAAATATATATATATATATAATGAACTGATTAAAAATGAATAGAATAAAAATTGGAAACTGGGGAGACCATGAACTTTAGCCACTTTGAGTGGATAAAAAAAAAAAAAAAAAAGGCTTTTCCTATTCCCTATCCTTTCCAGATTTGTGTTAGCTATTTTGCTTAAGCATTAGCTTAAGACTTGTCTAAATAGCAGGCAAAAACTAAAATGGTCAAATATTGAACTTGTCCACCTCTCCAAAACACATTCATGGGTTGTTTTTTTGCTTTTTCTTTACTTAAAATTATAGAAAACAAAATGTCACACAGACTTTTCAGTCTTACTTCCCAGAAATATGGCACATTAACTTKACTAGAAATCATGGCATCTATCTTTTTCCGTATGTGATATAGACATAGAACTTTATCCATTCATAGAAAACTCAGGCTGTCATTTTGGCAAGGATCTGCAATGCACCAGTCTGAGCACAGAGGACTTAAGTTATGGTTCTTGTGGAACTGGTTATTAACAGAATAAGTACGGCTATTTTTTTTAATCTATAATATTTACAGTATTGCACTTTACTGCACTTAATTGCATTTCACTAAAAGTAATGCTGCATCAGTATTATGCCTTAAAATCATAGGTCCATCTTTGTTGTATAAGTCATTCTTTCTACAACCAGTAAAACAGCAAGATTTCAATCCAAAGATCCAGACATTTGGGGGRAAAAAATAGAAAAAATGACCTGTTTCTATGGCACAACATTGAGTTCAGGTGATTCTGGCAAAACAGGTGCATTTCTTATTGTTCCCATCTTTCAAATTATCACTAATGATTAATAAATTCTAGTCTCTCTTTTTTTTTTTCTTTTCAAAGAACATAGCCATTTGAGACACATTTTTTTTTTTGTTATTGCTGTTTTGTTTTGTTTTTTTCTAGGAAAGAAAAGGAAAAAAAAAACTGCCTGGCCTCAGATCTGAAATTCCACATTTAAATTCAAACCAGTTCTGCAGCAGCAGCTCCTCAGTGATGGAAGAGATTCATGGCAGTGAAATAATACTGTTGGCAACAAAGAAATGTCATCTTTAATGGAGACCAGCCCCAAGGATTTATTATTTATTATTATTATTATTTGTTTTGTTTAGTTTCGTTCTAATATACTTTTTTGATCCTCAAAAAAAAAGAAAAAAAAAAAGAAGTGTTTTAGTTAGACACATGCACAAGGTAGCAAAACTGACAGCAGCAGGTGACGTTATGCTGGAGTGATCACTTTTGCCAGGGTCAAAAAAACAAAAAAAATCCAAAGCGTCCCAATGTTCACAGATTAACATAATTTAGAGATTGATTCCTTTTTTTTCTTTTTTTTTTTTTTTTTCCTCCATCCTCCTCCCACCTACTTTTTCCTCCGAGAAGTCCTTGATTTCTGAGCGGGGACGGGACGGGACAGGGGACGTTGGCTGCGCGCGCGCGCGTGTCTCAACGGGGGGGGGGCTCGCGGCGGGGGGCGGGAGATTTGAACGTGCCGCGGCGCCAACGGCCGCCAACGGCCGCCGGTCTTCGCCCCGGCCACCAAGTCTGTGCGCGCGAGCGGGCGGCGGGGCGCGAGGAGCGGGCCTGGAAGCGCTCGCGGGCCGTTTTTATTTTGTTTGTTTGTTTTTAAGAAAAAAAAAATAGAGAAAAAAATTACCCCCACGCCGCGAGGTGCGGGCAGGGCAGGGCAGGCAGGGCGCCCCGCGGCGCTCCCTCCGCGCGGCCGCGGCGTCGAGGCGAGGCCCGGGCAGGAGAGCGCGGCAGTCCGTGGGGGGCGGCGCGGTGCGAGGGCGTCACGCGCGGCCCCACGCGCGGGCACCGGGAGCGTGTCAGAGCCCCAGCGCCTCGGCGTGCTTCCTGGCCTTGAGCCGCAGGTCGGCGATGCTGGAGTTCTTGCTGTTGCTCTTGGCGGCGGCGGCCACCACGGCGGCGGCGGAGGCCGACTCGGCCAGGGAGGCGATGGGCAGCCCGAAGGGCGGCGGCGGGAACATCAGGTAGGGCGCGTGGGCCGCCAGGTGCGGGTGCAGGTGCGGGTGCGCGTGGGCGACGCCCTCCAGCTGCAGCTGCGCCTGGACCTGCGTGGGGGGCGGGCAGAGAGGCGGCGTGAGCGCGGGCACCCTTAACCCTTCCACAAAAAGAGCTTTGGGGGTTAATGCTGCACGGCAAGTGCTAAATAACTCCTTTATTTTTCTTTCTTTCTTTCTTTCTTTCTTTCTTTCTTTTTTCTTTTTTTCTAGGGGTGTTTGTTTATACCTCGCTAAAACCCGCTCCCCGGCCGCGGGACCCTCGTATAGCGGGGCTGGTGTTTGCTTTGGAGCCCTCTCGACCTGGGCAAACACCTTGGGTTGACTGAGAGATTTCAGCTCCGGGTAGGTTTGAGGTGGGTGGATGGGGAGGGGGACAGGAGGGAGAAGTTATTTATGTATTTAAAGAGTTTAGACCAAAGGCGTCTTTAAAAAAAAAAAAAAAAAAAAGAAAAAAAAACAGGAGCGGGGGTGACAACCTGGGGGCTGAGTTTCCCGTTCCTGCTCCCGGGCCCGGGACCCCCCGGGCCGGGGCCCGCCGAGCCGGGCTGGAGGTGGCTCCTTCACGGAGTTTTACAGCCCGTTTTTCAACGCGCGCCAACTTCTCTATAAACGGCACTTGTAAACGCGGCCGGCTTCCTCCCGTGCGAGCGAGCGGGGGTCGCGGCTCGCCGGCGCAAAGGCGAACACGCCGAGCCGGAGCTGGCTACCTGTTGGAAAGGCATCCTCAGCGCTCCCATGTTCACGTAGGGGGCCACTCTGCAGGCGTCTAGGTGGCTGGCGGTGCCCAGGATCACCCCTGCGGCGAGAGCGAGGGAGGCGACGAGGCCCGTGAGCGGCCAGGGCGCCCGCGGCCCCGCGCCCGCCGCCCCGCGCCCCYCGCACCCACCTTTGTGCATCTGGTTCTCCTGCTTCCGGCACTTGGCTCTCCGGTTCTGGAACCAGACCTGCGGGGCGGCGGAAACGCCAACAAAACCACAAACACACACAAGAGAGAAGAGAAGGAGAGGTAAAGCGGGCAGCTGCGGAGCAGGAGGGCTAGCTCGTCGGACACGGGGGGCGGAGGGCAGAGRCCAGGCCAGGCTGGGGGCTCCACGCCACTTTGCAGAGATCTCTTCTCCACGCGAGACCCCAGCAGCGGCAGAACTGCTTTGCACGGGGGGCGCTGCTCTCCAGCGCGGTCCCTCCGCGGGAAGCGAAGCCGGGAGAACCCCCGTCCCCTCGGAGCTCCAAAGCTCCGAGTCCCGCCACTTCCCCCGCGTTGCGGGGCCTGGTGCCCGCACCGCAGCCCTTGTGCCACTCGTGCCAAGCGAGGAGCGGCCCTGGCAACTCTAGGATAAGCCCACATGCAGCCTAGGTCGAGCCTTGGCCCCCTGCGCCTTTGCACCTCGAACAGCCCAGGAGCGGTCAGAGTGGGATCGGACTCCAAGGTCCACACACGGGATGGGATTGTCTGCATCTGCTCCCGAACTGAGCTGTGAAACGCTGGAGAGCCCGCGGAAGATCCGAAACACTGAATTTGAGCAGAGGGGCCAAATCGCTCCCCAAACCTTAGACTACCAAAAAAACACTCCTGTTTGCTTCCCAGAGCTCCAACTTTGGGACAAGAGCAACATCTTTCTAAACGGGTCTTTATGGAAGTACTTATGTCCCACCAGCAGCGAAACGCCTGTAATCCAATAAAGCTCCTCTAATTCCAGTCCCTCAAGTCTAACAGGCACAGAACTTCAGTTGTCACTTGTACTTCTTTTCGAGGGGCAGTTCAGATTTTCATACATTTCTCCCCAGCTAAGGGGCTCGGTTTGGTAGCTCTCCTGAAAGGGTCGCCAGCACCTCAGAGCAAAGGGTCRGGGAGGGGACAAACAGCGACTTCCCGCGCTAGTGAAACCTGGTAGCCAAGTAAACGCTTCCAACCTTGGACGTGCACACGCTTGCCAAGAGCTCACACGGTTAATTAATACTAACTGCACTTCCTACGTTCAAATCCCCCCTTCCAGCCTTCTCCAATTGCCTTAATGATGGTCATTTACCACGGAGTAATTAGTGCAAAGAAAGGCTTCCAAAGGCATTAATTACCTCGGCTGCCTCCGCGCTTTTCCCGAGCGGAGCAGCCCGCGGAGCAGAGCGGCCGCCGCTGCTGCCCGGAGCGCGCAGCGCTGCGCGAGCCTCCGCGCAAAAGGCAAATGCGCCAACAGCGAGGGCGAGAGACGTCTCTTTTTCGTGTTTCCCCCTCCTCTCGAGTGCTGGGAACTGTTTGCATAAGCGCACAAACTATCATCGTGCTGCAGCGACGATAATACAGGGGKTTTTTTTACAGTTGTAAATCCTTGCAGGAAATCTCCTTATGTGTTTTCTTTCCCTCTCCTTTCGCCTCTCCAAAGGAGTATAAATTGTCAGGAGGAATTTAAGCAGCGTTTAAACAACTTCTCTTGCAAATCAGAACATCTTTCAAACAGAAATTATATTTGAATGTGGAAAACGAAGTGCCCTTTCCCTTTAGCTATGAAAAAATAAGGTTATGAGGAATAAAAGTGATGAATTAGCCAGTGCGTTAAGCGATAATAAATCAGGCTTGGTGTGATTCACGATCAATTCCAATTAGTCATGAATATGCTAAGTAAAGCACAGTACACTATTTTAGACAGTTATTTCTTCATTAAGGATCACTCAGTGATTTCTTTCACAAATGCTCTAATCTGATTTCCTTTTGATTTCCATTAGAGACAGTGAATAATGACATTTAATTTAGCCCTGCACCATAAACCCAAAGATATTTGTTGTAATTGAATTACTGCCTGCTCCTCACTATGGTCTCATAACTTTCAATTATAACCCTGACAGCTGGGTGATATGAGTTTCCAGTACAACACTAAAAATAAAAGGTTAATAAGGACTAGCTACCATAGGAGCTTCAATTTATTTACAGCAAATTTCTACACCAAATTGAAACTATATCCTTTAACAGCAAAGGACAAGCGGTTCAGATAGGAATTAGAAAACAATTCCGAACGTATTTTTTTAAAAAAAATCTTTCCCTCCCCCCCTTCTTTTTCCACTTCCACCTCTTGACGGATATCAAGTTCTCTGTTTATTYCTAATTAATTATCCATGTCGCCTCTATTCCCCCTTGATAATTCTGTTATTTCTAGCCTTATTTTCACTCGTGCAAACCTCTTTTGTAAAATGATTACATTTAAAAACAAAAGAGAGAGGGTGTCTTATCTCCTTATCACCCGCCCCCCCAAAATCAGTATCACTTTTTTTCCTCCCTCTTTTATTTTTCCTTCTTTTTGGTGTTCTGTTTTAAGATCTGCAAGCACTTGAAGCACCAATTTTCCTGCAACTATGAACACCCTGTTAAGGTGCTGCTCAGTAATAAAGTACTTGAAAGAAAGAGTACAGAATCCAATTACAAGTAATTTATTTTTATAGAAACAGTACATCAAGGCCTGGGAAAGATATTACAGAGCCCGGGTAAGAAGATCCGGGAAGATGACACGAGAGTTGATGTCCCCTTCAGCCAAAGTTTAATCTTCCCATTAATTCATACGGCGCGCGCAGAGCAACGCGGCGGGCGCGGGGGCCCCGCAGCGCGTGGGCCCCGCCGCGCCCCCCGCGCGCCTCAGACCCCGCGTGGCGCCGACCCGGACGGCAGAGCGGAGCCCCTAGCGCCGCACGCGCCCTGGCCGCGCGGTTCCTTTGGGAAAAGGCCGCGGGAAGCGGCTCCCTGAAGCGACGCGGCCCCGGAGCCGCGGGGAGCAGCGGCCCCGCTCGCCCTCGCTGGCGACTCGCGCGTTTCCGCTCTGTCCCAGCACGCGCGTGTCCCGACACCCCCGGCACACACTCACACTCACACTCACACTCGCACTCACTCCACCACGGGGCTGCTACCGGCTCTCCCAGCCCCTCGAGGCGAGCGGGGATCCCGTGGGAGGGGGCGCTTTGGGAACTTTATCCCGGGTTTTTACTTCCCTTCGGGCTCTGCTAGGCCGAGCACAGCGCTACAGCCTAATAAGGAGCTTCCTTGCGCTGCGGGCCTGCCCAGAGAGCCACAGGTTGATCTTATTAATCCTTTCTACGTTTTTTTTTTCTCTTTTATTATTTATTTATTTTACGTGATATCTGCTTTGGGGACAGATTCTCCGGTTAGCTTGAGGTTTGAGGGTAGGGGGTGGGAGCTGTTTTCTTTCCCCCCCCCTCCACGATCAAACCGAAATGAGAAAGGCTCGACGCGGAGCCCCCCTCACGAGGCAGGTCCGAAGGCCCCAGACGAGGAGCAGCCCGGGCGGTTTCTGCCGCGTTGGGGACCCGTTTGGAGCGTTTCGCTGCGCCCGGGGCGCGCAGAGACCCCGGCAGATGGAGCGGGGGGCTCGGCGGGCCCTCGCGCTAATCCCCTCCCCGAGCACCCGAGCGCCTTGGCCTCCTTCGTGGCAACTGTTTCCTCGCCCTCATTCCCTTTTATTTATTTTTTTTTATTTTATATAAAAATAATTTTTTTAAAAAGAGGGATGAGTTAAAGGAAGCAGTTTTTTTTTTTACTGTCACATTCACAAAAGGAAAGCAAATGAAATCTTAAAAAAGAACAAAGAGGCAAATCGCTCAGTTGCCGAGAGCCAGTGCCAATCCCAGCAGCGATGAAGCCCCTCGCTAGGAGCGAGGGAAGGGGCAGGCGCCGCGGAGCGGGAGTGGAGCTGTCCCGCGCAGGACACGCGTGTCGCGGCGCGTCCCCGCGCGTGTCTCTTACCTGAACGCGGGCCTCGGAGAGCCCCAGCCTCTGGCTCAGCTCCTCCCTCATGAAGGCATCCGGGTAGTGAGTCTCGTCAAAAAGTCTCTCCAGCTCGTTCAGCTGCTCCAGTGTGAAGTTGGTTCTGCTTCGCCTTTGTTTGAGCTTCGTCTGCCCGTCCTCGTCCTCCGACTTCACGTCCTCCCTCTTCTCCTTGCACTCGTAGATCCCTGCCGGGAGCGGGGAAGGGGAACAGGACACAGAGCCTCCCCTTAGCACCTCGCCCGAGCAGATAAGAGAGACCCTCTCCCCTGCCCCAAACACACACGGGGCCGGCGCGAGGCKGGCCTGGGTCTGGCACCGGCACCGGGGAAGGGTGTCCGGGACCCCGTTCCCTTCGGGATCCAGCAGCGCTGCGTGAGAGGCTCCGCACCGGCGCCGCGGCCGAAACACGAGCCTCGTGCAAGACTTCACGTGGGCCTGACCCCAAGGAGGGTTCCCCTGCACACGCAGGGACCTGCCGGGGGTGASGGGGGGGAGTGACCCCCGATTCGGGATCCCCGGGGCTCTGCCCGGGACCCCGAGAAGAGCCAGGTGCCCTTTCCGTCAGTGTGGGCCGCAGCGGGGGGAGTGTGGGGGAGGGATATGTCTTTGCCTCGATTTATTTATTTCTCCCATTTTTTTTCCAGATTCTGTTTTGTACCAGTCTTCCTCAAGAAGCGGCGCCGTTTTAAACGCGGCCTACGAAGAGCGGGGACGCGTCTGGGGCAACGGAGGCCCTGGGGAGGCCGCACCGCTCCGCGGGACCCGCCGCCCGCGCAGGCCGCCCTCGGGGCGCGCAGCCAACGCGCAGCCAACGCGCGGCCAACGCGCGGCCAACGCGCGGCCAACGCGCAGCCCCGCGCGCTCCTTCGAGCCGCCTCGGCCCCTGGCAGAGCGAGGCCAGGGAGGCTCGGCAGGAGGTTACGCGGGACCAAGCTCGATTTTCCCTCGCCGGACACATTCCTATTTATACATATGTGCATATATATTATATATACATATATTGCATATATGTGTATTGCATATAGGTGTATTGTATATATGTATGTTACATATATATATACAGCACATGTATATCTAGAGGCACCCCTACATTCAAATGGCTAAATGTAAATCCTCCATTAACTACGTGCAATAAAATGCCCTAAACCGCTCCGGTGCTGGAGCAAGGCGGCCCCAGCATCCAAGCCGAGAAGCCCGTTTTCACTCCTGGAATTAAAACCATCCCCGGCCGACATTACTCGCCCTGTCTCCCGCTTGCCATCGGCTGCCTAAAACTTTACGATGGGCCCTGCCTCCGGAGGTGGGTATCAGCCCGTCATTTTTAGTGGCATTTTGTGCTCATTTCTCCTGAAAGGGGAACTCCTATTAGGAGGAGACAGTGCTAAGCCAGCAAATGTCCAGGGAAAACGAACCCCTCTCAGAATCCCTCTCCCTTCGGGAATAAAGGAGTACAGCGTGTCCGTGATAGGTATGAAATATTAACCAGCATCTCTATGGGACAGAAATCTCACGCCGGAATCAGTTGAAATTAGGCTGAAACCTGGCATGAATTTAAACTGTCACACAGCTCAGTTCTTTCCAACTCCTCCCTTCCATCCCCACCCCCAGCCCCTCTCCACAGATTAGATTAGCTAAACATACAAGCCAGAATTTCGATACACGGGGAAAAGGGGAAGCAGGACAGAGATTTTTTTTTTTTTTGTCTTTCGTTATCCTAAAAAAAAAAAAAAAGAGAGAGAGAAAGAAAGAAAAAAAAAGAAACGAGGGGGTGCCCTGGTTTCATTTTCACAAACCGCCTCCCACTCGGATAATTCCTCTAACCGGAGCCCTCGCGATTTGCAGTCCGCAGAGTTGGGAGGGCAGATCACCAACGTCGCGGAGACCCGGGCAGACACCCGCACATGGCGGGTTGCACTCGGTCCCTCTCTGTGGCAAGGGGGCGAAGGACAGAAGGACATTCAATAAGCGCCCAGGCTGTAAATTAAAGTGCCTCTCCCCCGGCGTTGTATTAAACGGGATCAAACAGCAGGAAACAGCTGAAAGGCCGCTTGTTGTTCCCCAACCTATTAACCGCTTTTTATTACCCGAAGGTGGCCGGTAGCTCCCCAGGCGGGTCCACCTGCCTGAGCTGCCTGGAGACACTTCCTCAACTTTCTAATCCACCCTTTCCATCCTGCCTCCCCGGCGAAGGGGTGCGTCCCCTTAAAACAACAATTGTGTGTATGTATATGTATATATATGTATATATACACACTGACGTTGTATATATATAATGGTATATATCGGGGCGAGCCTCTCGTGCCGGGCAGGGAGGCGGCTGCGCGGGGCAGAGCGCTCGGTGCCTGCTGCGCGGGGCGCTCCGTGTCGCCAGGCCCGCGGAGCGCGGGCCCTGCCCGGCCCAGGGGCGCCTCGCTCCGCGCCCGCGCAGCCTTCCCGCAGCAGCAGCGGCCGCCGCGCATCCCGGCGGCCCGGAAACAGGAAGGACAGGTCTTCTGAGACGAGAAARCTCCCCGGACAAGGTTTTCCTCGCACAAAAACGCACGCACGCACACAAAAATGTCCGTCGTCCCGCGCTGCCCCCTTCCCCCGCGCCAGATGCGCAGCGCCGCGGATCGATCGCGCCTTTCAGCGGGGCCCGGCGCGGGGAGGACGGGACGTGCCGCTTATTTCGGGGAGCCCCGAGCGCGGGCGCGCGCAGAGATGCGCCCCGCGGGGCCTCTGCGCGGGGAGACGGGTCCGGGGGGGCCCCTCGCCCCGATGGCCACGGCGGGCAGAGGGGCCCGCGCTGCGGGCGACGGCGGCGGGCGCCGCTCTTACCTTCCGCCGTCCTGCCCGTGCCGAACTCCTTGAGTTTGTCCTTGTCGCTCTCTACGTGCTCCTTGAAAAGATGCACCGGGCAATGGTTGCTGCTCTCGGTCATGTCCTGCAGGTTAGAGTCTGAGTTTCCCAGCTCCCTGGAGCGAGCCAACCCACTCTCCAAAACTTCCCTGTACGTGATCGTCTCCTTCTTGTTGCTGCTGCCACTGCTGCTGCTGCTCTCTTTGCTTTTCTGGTCAAAAGATTTGGATACAAAAGCCGTAAGTTCTTCCATGGCTGCCCGGTGCTCTTATCCACAGAGATCCACTTGATTTCGGTGGGCGATGTGGCCGTCCTCAGCACGCTGTTTTTGCACGTAGAAGATGGGCTGTATAGGGTTAGATCACTTCTGCTGTTATTTATGCCTTTCAATTTGAGATCACACTATTTATACATGGCTACCTCAGCCCAGCCCCCAGCTCTCCCTGTCTCCAGCAATTACTGCCTGCTCCATAGTCGCGGGCGGACTCGGAGCAGTATCTCCCCCACCGCAGTCCAGCAATTGGCTTTCTTCTCATTTCATCACTCTTTGGCATCTTTGCACCTTGAATTCGGGAGGCAAAGAGGCAAAAGAGAGAGGAAAAAAAAAAAGAGGAAAAAAAAAAAGAGGAAGAGAGCAAGAGAGAGAGAGAGAGAGACGATAAAAGGGAGGGGTAAAAAAAAAAAGGAAAAACATAAAAATAGGTATCTTCGTTCTGTAAACGGGTTGCAGAAATGAAAGTCGAGGAAGACTTAATTGATTGTAAGGACATCCTGTGCGTGGCAACACTGTGAGTAAGAGCGGACCCAGCTAATCAGATAACTGTGCTCTGCAATTACATGTATCGCTATCAAGAGGAAAGGAAAATGATTGTTCAATAAAAAGGTAATAATGAGTAAAAAGCTGGAAATGAGCATTTGTTGTAATCTCTTGAAATTCTACCTGATCTGCTGTTTCGCTAATTTAGCTTATTTAATAATCAGCGGAGCAAAAAAAAAAATGTTGTTTTAAAAGTGCGTGGGTGGGATGGCGGGTGCGTGGAGCGGGGGGTGCAGGGGGGTCGGACGTGGGTGCAGTTAAACAAGTTGTTAGATACCTCGGAGATCCTGCTCGTTTTGCTCGGAGGATTTGGAGGGGTTGCTTGATTCGTTATTTTGTTGTTATTTATTTTCACCCATAGGTAGGGGGACCCCGCAAGATGCGTGTAAAACTCGCAGGCTTTCTTTTCTTGGAAAATGCTATGATGTTGTCTGAGGATGTTGTCTGGAAAAAAAATATAATCTAAAATTCCGCTGCTTTCGCTGCTGTAGAGCCATCCTGCTGCGTGTAGTAAAGGCGTAATTTGCTAACACGAGAGTTTGTAGGAGACGAATAGGGCGTTAATTCGCCTGCTGCTTTTTTCCTTTTTTTTTTTTTTTTTTCAAACGGAACATATCCTGCCAGATCTCAGATAGGACTGTCACTAATTTCCCCACCTTGTTCATTAGAGGCTGCTGTTATTTTTGTTGCACTCCCCCGGCATAACGACCACTTTGCGCGCTCCCACGGTCGCCTGAAACGAATACCCAGACCCAGCCGTAGCGGTTCTCGCACCTCCGCGCACAATTTGATCCAGAGTGGGGGAAAAGAGGGTGGGCAGAGCTGACTTTTTAAGCTATTTCATTCTATCTCCTTTCCCGGTCTTTAAAAGAGMAGAGGCTGGCTTTCGGTGGGATTTCGCCTGATGCTCGTTTGGATTTTTTATGTCCTTCTCGTCGCTGCTCCTCGCCCCGAGCCAGGCAGAGCCGGAGCCCCCAGCCGAGCAAGGGCCGCAGTGGCTGCTCGGGAGAGCAGCCCCAAAAACAGAGGGACAGTGAAACAGGAAAAAAAAAAAAAAAAAAAACCACTTTAATTAATCCAAATGTGCCCCCAGCACCAGAGTTAACACCTCCGCAGGAGGAGGGGGCAATAATAATCTAGGAAGCAATTAATAAAGCGCTTAAAAAAAAAATCAATCTCCCCCCCCTTTGCGAATGTAAAATGATTATCTAGGGGACAAAGATTGATCATTTGATCTCGACACTGCGGATATCGCTGACATTTATTATATTGCCGTGTCTCGGTGGCATCCTTCCTCCGGAGTTCATTTAACAAGTGCGGGAGCCGAGGAAGCGTCTTACACAGCTTAACACGCAGGTCTTGTCATCGCAGACGCCAATCAAATGCGGGGCTCTAATGTATATCACACGGCACCACATAAATAATAAAGGCAAAGGATGGACGTGGAAGCAATGTATGGCCGAGAAGGAGAGAGATGCAGGCAGGACAGGGGGGTACGCCCGTGTCGTGGGCTCTGCGCGTTAGCGCGTCTCGGGGCTAATGGTTACTCGAGTACTCACGCTGATGCTTACTCGGGTATTAACGCGCGCAGCGCAGCGCCGCACGACACACGCGCATCTCTGCTGCGCGAGGAGGCGCGCAGCCCCGAGCTCACTCATACCCGCGCACACCCGCGCAGCCCCGCACGGGACGAGGGCGCTG